GACTGGCAGCAGATCAACATCGAACAGCTCGGGCATCGCCTGCTACGGCAAAACCAGCAGAAGTACATCAGCCGCAAGGTGGCCTCCTGGTCGCAAGAACTCAAGCCCCGGGCCAACCACGTCGACGACCGCATCACAGTCAGCACTCCGCTCGAAAACGGCGGGGCCTACTGGCTCACCGCCAAGATGGCCGACGGCAATACCAGCCACATGGTGTTGTGGATCGACGACATGATCCTCGTCCAGAAGAGCGGCTCTGAACAGGGAATCTTCTACCTGGCCGATGCAGAGACCGGCACCCCCGTTAGCGATGCCAACATCGAATTCTTCGGCTACCAGCAAGAGCGAGTGAACGGCAACCGCTTCTCGTTTCACATTAAGAACTTTGCCGAGAAGACCGACGAAAATGGCTTGGCCTACCCCAGCAGCCAGCGATTGAACAACCAGTACAGCTGGCTCACCATCGCCCGTGCCCCTGGCGAACACCTGGCGTTCCTCGGCTTCAACCGCATGTGGTTCGGCAACTATGGCTACCCACGGCTGGATCAAACGAGGGTCTACACCGTTACCGACCGCCCCGTCTATCGCCCCGGGCAAACCGTCTACTTCAAAACGTGGATCCGCCCGGTGAGCTACGTCCAGCCTCTCGAGCAGGATCTCTCCGGCCAACATGTCACAGTCGAAGTCCGCGACCCTCGCGACGAATCGATTCAGAGTTTCGAACTGAAGTCCGATCGCTACGGGGCCGTGGGGGGTGAGTTCGAGATTCCGTCTTCCGCCACGCTGGGGCAGTTCAGCATCAACGTCAACCAGCGTTACGGGAGCAACTTCCGCGTCGAAGAATACAAGAAGCCCGAGTTCGAAGTGACGGTCTCCGCGCCCGAGAAGCCGGTCTCGCTCGGCGATAAGTTCACGGCCACTATCGAAGCCCGGTATTACTTTGGCTCGCCGGTGACCGAGGCGAAAGTAAAGTACAAAGTGATGCGGACCAGCTTCAACGATCGCTGGTATCCCGTTGGTCCCTGGGACTGGCTCTATGGTCGCGGCTACGGGTGGTTCTCCGGCGACTACACTTGGTACCCGGGCTGGAGACAATGGGGCTGTGTTGGCCCGCGGCCCTGGTGGGGTTTCGCACCGTCGCCTCAACCAGAAGTGGTGGCCGAACAGGAAGTTTCCGTTGGCCCCGATGGCAAAGTCTCCGTCGAGATCGACACCTCCACCGCCAAGGCCCTGCACGGCGACCAAGACCACCGCTACGAGATCGTCGCCGAAGTCGTCGATCAATCACGACGCACCATCGTCGGCACCGGAAGCGTGCTCGCTGCCCGTAGCCCCTTCACCGTGACGACCTGGACCAATCGTGGTTACTACAACGTGGGGCAAGCGATCGAAGCCAACTTCGCTGCCCGCACGCTCGACGGCCGTCCGGTGCAAGGCACCGCCGAAGTCACACTGCTGGAAATCACCTACGACGACAACCGCCAACCGGTAGAAACGCCGGTGCGTAGCTGGAAAGTAAAAACCGGTGAAGACGGTTCGGGCCAGCAACGCATTCAGGCCTCCGCACCCGGCCAATACCGTCTCTCCGTCAAGGTGACCGACAGCGAAGGACACACCATCGAGGGCGGGCACGTCTTTATCATCCGTGGCGAAGGTTTCGATGGCCGGGAGTTCCGCTTCAACAACCTCGAGTTGACGCTCGACCGCCGGCAGTACGATGTCGACGAAGAAGTCGAGTTGCTAATCAACACCGATCGCCCCGGCAGCACCGTGCTGCTATATCTGCGACCTTCCTCGGGCGTGTACCCCAAACCGCAAGTGCTGCATCTCCAAGGCAAGTCGACCGTCGTACCGATCAAGATCTCGGCCCAAGATATGCCGAACTTTTTCGTCGAAGCCGTCACCATCTCCGACGGCGAAGTGTTCACCGTAACGCAAGAAGTTCTTGTGCCGCCTGCCAACCGTGTGGCCAACGTCGAAGTGGTGCCCTCGGCCGAAGAATATCTGCCCGGCGAGAAGGGAACCATTCGGCTGAAGCTCACCGACGACGAGGGCAATCCCTTCGTCGGTTCAACCGTGCTCAGCGTGTACGACAAAGCCCTCGACGCCATCGCCGGCGGGTCGAACGTGCCGGAGATCAAGGAATTCTTCTGGAAGTGGCGCCGCGGACATCACCCACAAACCATCGATAGCACCACCCGTTACTCTTACAACCTGGTACCGCCGGGGCAGATGGCGATGAACAACATCGGCATCTTTGGCGAGACCGTTGTCGAAGAAATGGACGGCGTGGCCTTCGGCGCGGGCGGCGCGGCACCCGAACTTAGTCGACGTGGCCAAATGATGGAGAAGTCGGCCATGCCTGCTCCGGCCTCTGCCGAAGCGGCCTCCGATGAGGTGACGTTTATAGCAAGTACGGTGTCGGCCATAGACAATCTCATCGAACCCACCGTCCGCAGCGACTTCGCCGATTCGGCACTCTGGGTTGGTTCCGTCGATGTGGCCGATGACGGGACGGCCGAGGTGGAACTCACCATGCCCGAGAATCTCACGGCCTGGCTCGTGAAGGTTTGGACCGTGGGCGGTGGCACCCGCGTGGGTCAGGGCGAAGCCGAGGTGGTGACCCGCAAGAATCTCATCGTGCGGCTGCAGGCCCCGCGGTTCTTCGTCGAACGCGATGAGGTCGTGCTGTCGGCCAACGTGCACAACTATCTCGATAGCGACAAAGACGTCCAGGTCTCTCTCGAACTCGACGGGCCGGAACTGGAGATGCTCGAAGAAAGCACCCGCCAGGTCCACATCCCCGCCGGCGGCGAAGTGCGAGTCGACTGGCGCGTGAAAGCCGCCCGCGAAGGCGAAGCCGTCATTCGCATGTTGGCCCGCAGCGACGAAGAATCAGACGCCGTCCAACAGCGGTTCCCGGTTTATGTGCACGGTATCCTCCGCACCGAGTCGGTCGCCGGGGCGTTGCGGCCCGACGAAACGGAAGCCGACTTCACGTTCGAGATTCCCAGCGAGCGTCGCGCCGAGCAATCGCGGGTAGAAATCCGCTACTCGCCCACGCTGGCCGGAGCGATGATCGACGCCCTGCCATACCTGGTCGACTATCCCCACGGCTGCACCGAACAAACTCTGAACCGGTTCCTGCCGACGGTGATCACGCAGAATATCCTGCTCGAGATGGGTCTCGACCTGGAAGAGATCCGCAACAAGCAAACCAACTTGAACGCCCAGGAAATTGGCGACGATCGTGAACGGGCCGGGCAGCGCGTTCGCCGGGGCGATGATTACTCGCCGGTGTTCGATGAGGCTAAGGTCGCCGAAATGGTCAACGCCGGCATCGATCGCTTGACCGAGATGCAACTCAGCGATGGCGGCTGGGGGTGGTTCTCTGGCTGGGGCGAACACTCGATGCCCCACACAACCGCCTACGTCGTCCACGGGCTGCAAATCGCCCAAGACAATGGCGTCGCTCTGGTCCCCGGCGTGCTCGAACGCGGGGTCGAATGGCTGCAGGTCTACCAACAACGACAAGTCGCACTGCTGAAGACCGGCGAACTGGAAGACAAACAAGATCGACCCTACAAGACATATGCTGACAACCTCGACGCCTTCGTCTACATGGTGCTGATCGATGCCGACGTGGCGAACGAGGAGATGCGGAAGTACCTGTATCGCGACCGTACCAAGCTCAGCGTCTACGCCAAGTGCATGTTCGGCCTGGCCCTGCACACCCAGCAGCAGCAAGAAGAGCTGGACATGATTCTGCGGAACATCTCCCAGTTCCTGGTGGAAGACGAAGAAAACCAAACGGCCTACCTGCAACTGCCCGAGGACAACCAGTGGTGGTACTGGTACGGCAGCAGTTCCGAAGCGAACGCCTATTACCTGAAATTGCTGGCCGCCACCGATCCGCGTGGCCGAGTAGCTTCGCGGCTGGCCAAGTACCTGGTGAACAATCGTAACCACGGCTGGTACTGGAATTCGACCCGCGACACGGCCCTGTGCATCGAAGCCCTGGCCGAGTTCATGCAAGCCAGCGGGGAAGACGAGCCGGAAATGACCGTCGAAGTTTGGGTCGATGGCCAGCGGAAGAAGACCGTCGAAATCACTGCGGCCAACCTGTTCAGCTTCGATAACCAGGTACTGCTCACCGGCGACGAGCTTACGCCCGGAGTGCATACGGTCGAGATACGCAAACAAGGTACTGGCCCGTTGTACTTCAACGCGTACACGACCAACTTCACGCTCGAAGACAACATCGAGGCCGCAGGACTCGAAATCAAAGTCCAGCGGCGTTACTACCGGCTGGTTGAAGTCGAAGCCACCGAAAAGGTCGCCGGCTCTCGCGGTCAGGCACTCGAGCAACGCGTGGAGAAGTACCGCCGCGAACCGCTGCTCGATCTGTCGGCGGTAGAAAGCGGTCAGCTTGTCGAGATCGAACTCGAGATCGACAGCAAAAACGACTATGAGTACCTGATGTTCGAAGACATGAAAGCCGCCGGGTTCGAACCGGTAGAGATTCGCAGCGGCTACAACGGCAACGAACTGGGCGCCTACGTCGAGTTCCGCGACGCCAGCGTGTCGTTCTTCGTCAGCCGGCTCAGTCGTGGCAAGCACAGCGTAAGCTATCGCCTGCGGGCAGAAGTGCCCGGGCAATTCAGCGCGTTGCCGACACAAGCCTCCGCAATGTATGCCCCCGAGCTGAAAGCCAACTCGGACGAGATCAAACTCCAGATCGAAGATTCACCAACCGCGCTGGGGGCCGTGGGAGAATAACTTCAGCCACGGCGGAAACGCGCTGTAGGGAACGCCCTCCGTGGCGTTCCGAACACTACAGCAACTCCCAGAACGCCACAGAAAACACGCGCTGTAGGGAATGCCCTCTGTGGCATTCCGAGCGCAACGGCAATTCACGGAACGCCACAGAGGGCGTTCCCTACAGAGGATGTCTTGATCCGACACGTTTGATTCGTGCGTCTCGATCACCCGAATTGATATTACTGCGGCACCGCGGGCAACGGACCGAAACACCACTCCCACACCTCGGGGTTTTCCTCCTCGGCCAGTGGCGTGTCTTTGGTTTCGGCACCTTCGCGCTCAAGCACTGCCAACCGTTCGAGGCGAATTTCGGCCGGGGCTTTCGAGAGCACATCGTGCGGTTGCCAACCGATCTGAATCATCTTCACCCGTTCGGTCGTCCGCCACGTGCGCTCGGGCACGAAGTGCGACAGGCATCGCGGGTCGGTCAGGTCGAGCCCACTGATCAGCACCGTGTGGCTCTTCCCGTCGGGCTGCACCTGAAGTTGGACTGGAAGCGGCGTGTCATCTTCTAGAAACAACACCGCGAAGCAAATCCCGGGCTTTCCCACCGGAAAGGTCGAAGTCTTCGCGATCTGAATCTCGGCCACCAGAATATCCGACACCCGGCAATCGACCCCTTCCAACGGAATCTGAATGGCCGTCCCTTGCCCCGGCACGAACGCCGGCTTCGGTACCGGCAGTTCAATCTCAGTCTCCGTCCACGTCCCTTCCTGCGAGACCGGCCGCAACAACGCAAACCCCGGCTGGGGCGCGTGGGACAGTTCATATCCGTCGAGCAGGTATCGAACGATCTCCGACGTGCGCGAGAGATTCGTGTCGGTGCCCGCATCGAGATACAACAGCCCGGCCACAGCTTCGCTGGCCTGCAAGCGGGTGAGGGTCTCCTGCTCTAACCCACCAATCGCCCCTTCAGCACTTTGCAACGTGTAAGAAGGGTTGTCCTTTCCGGCCAGCAGATTGAGTTCCACGCCAAACGGCCACACGAACAGCGATTGATTCGGCAACGAACCGCCCGCCGCGGTGGCCTCGGCCAGCGTCTCATCAGTAATCTTGATCTCTGCCGCCGCAGGACTGAACCGCGACATCGCAGCCAGCCTGACTTTCCAGCCAGGAACAAACGCCGGAGCCAACGGTCCGATCAACATCGGCACAATCAACACCACCACCGGCAACGCATAAGGTGCGAGCGGGGCCGGCTCTTTCTTTGATGTTGCCTCTTCGTTCGACTCGGAAGCTGCTTCGGATGTGCTCGGTTCACTTGCAGTTTCTTGCTTCGCATACAGCCGCGCAGGCAACAGGCAACCGAAGAGGAACATCGCGGGAACGATGGCCGTGTAGACATGAAACCAATCGGTTCGGGTCAGCCCATAACGAACCATCAACAGACTGAAGCAGGCCACGGCCAGCATCGCCGTCCGCGTGGCGAACGAAGTGTCGCCCTCTGCATCAGGTTTCGGTGAACGCCACAGGGCATACAGTAAGAATCCGCCACAAACACAAAACACGAGAGCCAAAGTCACCAGCGCTCCCGGCTTGGCCCCCAAGGCCATGGCGTTACCGTAGGCCGTGACCAACTCGAACATGTGCGGCGTGTAGTTGCTCCACCCGGGCAACAACTGCGTTCCACCAAGCAACAGCAACATGCCAAGCACACTGCACACCGCCCCACCCAAGGCATCAACCCAACTCCGTCGGGCAGTAGTGCTTTCCAAGTAGCGAACATCAATCGCATGCACGATTGCCGTTCCCAGCAAGGTGGCCGTGAAGATCACCCCAAAATCGAACGAGTAAAGCGTGAGCAACGGTGGGCCAATGCCCCACACCAACCAGAGAGTTATCCTTCCGGCCGCCGCACTCTTCACCACACGCCGCCCCAACAACACTCCGCACAGCGCCGCCGCAGGCACTCCGGCCATCGGCTTGATCTGCAGAGCACTGTATTCCCCCGGGGCAGCCAGAAACACGCACCACAGCAAGAACACAACGCTGCGATAACCGACCGAAGCGCCCGTTAGACCGAGCGCCCACCACAACGTGAAGAGCACGATCAACTGTTCTGGCACACTGCGGAACCGCGAAACCGAAGCCAAATCGCCCGGCGGGATCACCAACCCTAGCGACTGGGTGAACTGATACACCGGACCATACGTGTAGATAAAATCACGCCCGCTGAGTTTCCCCTCGCCCAACAGCATCGGCATGCTCAACTGCCACGAGGTATCCAACACCCGATACTTTTTGATGACCTGCTCGGCAGGAAACAACGCCGGCGGCAGCGTGACCAACACGGCCAACGCCAAGGTGCACAAGGCGATCAACCGGTTCCGCCCACCAGAAGACGATGATTGAACTCCGCTCGGGTCGCTCACCGATTCGCCTCCTCGGTCGCGTCGGGCTTGTGCCAGATTTCGTACGGCCCGGGAGTTTCGACCGGTTCGAAACCGGCCTCGGTAAGAATGTCCTCGGCTTCGGTCAGCCATTCGGCTTCGGTCGACAAGCACACCGCCTTCAACTGCGGGTAGCTTACCAGGCCGGCGCGGAAGAATTCTTCCGCGTTTTCCAGTCGAACCTCACCTGCGATGTAGCGCTGTAAATAGAACCGCTGCAGCATCTCATCACGCGAGACATTGCCACCGTACGCTCGCAGATATCGAATTCGATTCGCCAGCGGGAACGGGTGATGATGCATCGTGGTCACCCAACCTGCGACGCCTTCGGGAGCGATAAACTGATCGGGCTCCCCGGCGATCTCGGCCAGGCGTTCTGCCACCGCGTAGTTTTCATCCACCTTCAGACCCGGGGGGCGAACTTCGGTGCTGTTCGCTGCACTCAACGCAGAACGCCCGGGGAACACCACGACGAAGATCACTATCGCCGCCACAAACACGCCCATCCGTTCGGCAAAGCGGGCACCTGGCCCCAACAACGCCAATCCGGCCATCAGCGTCATGGCCAGCATCGAGGGGAAGGGAATGATCCACAGCACCCGCCAATACGTTGAGATCAATGACGGATGCCCGCTGGCGACCATGGCCATCCAGGGATTGTAGAACACCAACAGGCAACCCAACGACAGTAGCAGCGCAACGCGGCGGGCGATCGTGCTTTCGAAGAACACCCACCCCGCGGCGATGATCCACAAGACGAGTGCCCCGAACAGTCCGCCACCAAACACCTGCAGGTACATGTAGTTCATCAAGTACGCATAGTTCGTGGCGTCGCCGGCCGACTCTTTCCAATTGCTTTCGACCACCGGCAATTGCGAAGCCAGGCGAATCAACAGCAAGGCGACCGCCACGGGATAAATCGCGGTGGCCACGCCGGCCAGCAACCGCTTGGTGGCCTCCCACGAAGGTCGCCATGCGGCGAGCAGGGTTAAGCCGCTGACCGCAGGAAAGAGCACCATCGCCGTCGGGCTGCACCCCAGGGCGAAGATGAGGCTCGCGGCCAACAACACCCAACTGCGAAGCCCGCCCCCTCGCATCAACTCCAGGCTGTATGCCACCGTCAATGGCAGCACCACCATCAGCATCAGCGACTTCCCCTGATGAATGCGAACCAGCGACATGTTGCCATAGGAGGTGGGCGCAGTTCCGTCCACAACCAAGAACACCATCAACGCCACCGTGCACCACAACCACAGCGTGGGGCTCAGTAATCTCAGCAGTCGGGCGGAAGCCAGCGGAATCAACAGTGCCGCGAAGCTGGCGAAAACAATGTGCATGAAGAAGATCGAAGGGATCGAAAACAACCACGACACCGCGGCGGCCAACAGTTCAATCGAAAGTACACGGTAATAAGGGGGACGCATCGCCTGTGCGTCGGTCCCATACATCGGGTCGAAACCATAAATCGCCCACTCCGGATGATCGGCCGCACCCGTGGCCAGTGCGAGATAGTACGAGTCATCGATATTCGGTCGATGGGCAACCAGTGCGATGGTGACCGCAGCCAGTGCCAACAACCACAACACCGCCTCCGAAGTTTTCGAGGTGATGAACCGTTCTGGAAGATCGAAGGCCGACCATTGTTGCCAGGTAGCGAATACCAACCACGGCACCAACAGCCACCAAGCCTGTCGAATGTCGCCCGAGAAGAGAAACGCCCCCGCAACGACCAGACCGGCGATGCTGGCGTAAACCCGCATGTTCTGCGGGACAGCCATCTTCGTGTCGTCTGCTTCACTCGAAGCCGTTGCGTTGGATGAGGTCTGTTCCAGTCGCCCGAGGTATATCCACGCGACAATTCCTACTGCGAAAAACAGGGCAGCCGTTACCAACAATGCATACATATTGCCTGAAGTTAGCACCGTGAAGTGGCAAGCCACCACCCATAAGGCGCCCGCAATACACACGCCATCGCAGAGACGATTGCTCAACGTCGCAGTGTCTAGGCTGGGAGTGGACATGAGTTCCGAGGACTGAATCGATGTACGCGTTGGTCGCCGCCGTTAGGGCAATGGTAACAAGATTACTTGACGGGCGCGGTCGAGAATATGGCTCCTAAGAATTCTCCCAACCACGCCGGGCCATGTTTTGCGTTGCCGACTGCGGCGTGCTACGCTCGATCCCCAGCACACTTTGCGAATTACCTTGCCCTCTCGAATGCGAGTTTCCCCATGCGATATTGCCCTCACTTGCTAGTTCTCTTAGCCGCCGTTTCTACGACCTTCTTAGGACTGTCACCGGCAACTGCGGGCGATTTGGAACTGATCGAAGCTCGCAAGATTTGGGACCAAGCACCCCACAACGCATTCACCGACTTGATCCGCTTCAACGATCAGTGGTTCTGCGTCTTCCGCGAAGGCCAAGGACACGTCTCGCCCGATGGTGCGATTCGCGTGCTTACTTCCGAAGATGGTGAAACCTGGACCTCGGCCGCCAAGCTCACTTCCGACACGGCCGACCTCCGCGATGCGAAAGTTTCGATCACGCCCGACGGACGATTGATGTTGATTGCCGCCGGCGCCCTGCACGACCCCGACCCGGTGCGGCATCAAACGTACGTTTGGTTCTCCGACGATGGGCACGAGTGGAGCGAGCCGCAACCGATTGGCGATCCGAACTTCTGGCTGTGGCGCGTGGGCTGGCACAACGACACGGCCTACGGCGTGGGCTATGCCACTGGAAAAGATGCCCCGCGGCTCACGCGGTTGTATCGCAGTAAAGATGGCGAACAGTTCGACACCCTGGTCGAGACGCTGTTCGACGAAGGTTATCCCAATGAAGTGGGTTTGGTGTTCGACGAAGATGATACGGCGTGGTGCCTGTTGCGTCGTGATGCCAGTCAGCCTTCCGCCCAACTCGGCACGGCCCAACCACCCTACGAATCGTGGACCTGGAAAGACCTGGGCGTTCGCGCCGGCGGACCGCAAATGATTCGCCTCGACGACGGACGCCTGCTGGCCACCGTGCGGCTGTACGACGGAAAGGTCCGCACCTCGGTCTGCGAAGTCGATCCCGAGAAAGGCACGCTAACCGAAAAGCTCACACTCCCCTCCGGCGGCGACACCAGCTACGCCGGCATGGTCCAACAAGGCGGCATCCTCTGGATCAGCTATTACTCCTCCCACGAAGGCAAGACCAACATCTACCTCGCCAAAGTAGCGGTAAAGTAGCGTGCCGTGCTCGCACGCACGAAAGGGAATCGGCAGAGATCCCATTCGCGTTTGCGAGCAAACGCGCTACGAGCATCACACGCGTTTGCTCAAACGTTCGGCCAGGCGGTCGAGGGCTTTGCTGCGATCTTCTTGGCTTAAGCGCACTTGGATGAGGGTCATCCCAGAGGTGTCGGCCAGGCCTTTGCGGAGGGCTTCGTCGAACTCGCCTTCGGTGTGCACCTTGTAACCGGTGCCGCCGCCGATGACCTCGGGCAGCTTGTGGTAGTTCCAGGGGTTGATGTCGTTGAACGGCCCCGGGTGCAGGAACCGTTCGGTGCCGTATCCCTGGTTGTCGAGCACGATCACGATCGGCGCGAACCCACAGCGGACGATCGTGGAGAGCTCCATGCCAGTCATTTGGAATGCCCCGTCGCCGACCAGCACCAGCGTTCGCAAGTCGGGGCGAGCCACATTGGCCCCCAGCGCCGCAGGCACCGCGAAACCCATCGACGTGTAATACGCCGGCGCCAGGAATTCGGTCCGCTGTTTGATCGTCAACTCGGTGGCCCCGAACAAGGCATCGCCCACGTCGGCCACCACGATGGTGCCCTCGCCCAGCGTCTCGTTCAGTCGAGCGATCATGCGTTCGATCGTGATGGGGTCCTCAGGCTTCAACGTGAAAGGACCGACCGTGGGCCGCTTCACCGGTTCACGCGTGGTGGGCGTGGGGCGGCTGGCAGAAAGTCCTGTGATGAAGTCGCCGAGTTGCACTTCGTGGTAGTGATGATGCCGAATGCGAAGTTGTTCGCTCGTAGCATAAATGCACTTCGCCGGGTCGAGGTTCGCCGTGTAGATCCCCAAGTTGATGTCGGTCATGAACGTGCCGAGCAAGACGACGCAATCACTGTCCTCGACGAAGTTGGTTACCTCTTCACGACCGAGCGCACCTTCGTACAAGCCGATATACAAAGGGTGATTCTCGCGGATAACACTCTTACCGAGCATCGTGGCAGCGATCGGAAGATTGGCCTGTTCGGCAAACTCCAGCACCTGGTCTTGCAGACCGAAGCGATGGATTTCGACCCCGGCGATGATCACCGGCTTCTTGCTGTTGGAAATCCAGTTCGAGGCTTCACTCACGGCCTCTTGCAAGGCCTGCGGATCGCTGGTGGTCTCGGTCACCGCAATGGTGTGCGGCACTTGCGGGGCGATCTTGACCATGTCTCGGGGGATTTCGATGTAGCCGGGCCGCTTGTATCGGGCGACGGCTTCCAACACGCGATCGATCTCGCGGAAGGCGATCGTCGGGTCGTTCACTTCGGTGCCGGCGATGCACAGTTTCTCGAACACGTCGTACTGCGTGCGGAAGTCGCGGACCATGTGATGCAACAACGGGTTGTTCTGCCGTTCCTGCAAACCCGGCGAGCCGGTAATAACCACCACCGGCGACTTTTCAGCGTAGGCCCCCGCGATCGAATTGCAGATGCTTAGCCCGCCCACGCAGTAAGTCACACAGACCGCGCCCATACCATGCACACGGGCATACCCATCAGCGGCGAACCCGGCATGGTCTTCTTTGCAACAGCCCACCACGTTGATGGGGCTTTCACAAAGCATGTTATACAGGCTGAGTACATAATCGCCCGGGATGCCAAACACGTCGCTGATGCCGTAGTCTTGCAGTCGTTGAATGAGGTACTGGCCAATCGACATACCTGCGACACTGGTGGGCGTCATGCTCGGTCCAACGTGCGAAAGAGAACTCGTATCGGTGTGCATTTGAGCCATAGCTTCATTCCTTTGCAGTCGAGCAGCGACCGAACCTGGGCAGAAAACTAAATCCGCCCGTCCGTTCCCCACGACGGCTTTCTAGCATGAATGCTTGGAGATGAATTATCCCGCTTATAACCATATGGCACAACGCGAGTTAGTGCGGCACGATTTTCCGCAGCCCACGTTGCGACAGGGACTTATGAAGATGAGGTTAGCGTCGCAACCAGGGTCGCCTTCCTGAGTTGCGGCTGTGAAATTAGTCACAAACACAGCCAGCACCTGCAGCAAACCCGCACGGTCGCGACGACAGACAGTTGGTCGCCTTGGAAACTCCGCATACGACCTAACTTATGTACGTTTCAGACAGCACGTGAGTTCGCCTGGGAACCGTGCCAGCACTCGCCCTACGACTCAGAGTTCGGCGCGAAACCGCGGCGCATGGTGTTTTCGGTAACCGTTCGCGGGACGACGAACTGCAGCAGGTAATCGCTTCCGCCGGCCTTGCTGCCGATGCCCGACATCTTGAAACCGCCGAACGGTTGTCGACCGACGAGGGCACCGGTGATGCCGCGATTGAGATAGACGTTGCCCACCATCAGTTTACGTCGAGCTTGATCGAGATGGGCGGGGCTGCGTGAGAACACCCCGGCGGTCAGGCCGTAGTCGGTATCGTTCAGAATGTGAATCGCTTCATCGAAGTCTTTCGCGCGAATCACCGCCAACACGGGACCGAAAATCTCTTCTTGGGCAATCCGTGCATCGGGAGCCATATCGGCATAGATATGCGGACCAACGAAGTAGCCCTGCTCGGCCAGAGGGCCGGCATCGACGGCCAGCACTTCGCGGCCCTCGGTTTTGGCCAACTCGATGTACTTCATCACCCGCTGTCGGGATTCATCATCGATGAGGGGACCCACCTTCGCGCCTGGATCTTCCGCCGGACCGAGCTTCAGGCTCTGGGTCGCATCAACCAATCGTCGCAAGAAAACATCGTACACATCGGCCAGCACGATGGCCCGGGAGCAGGCGGAACACTTTTGACCTTGGAACCCGAAGGCGCTTTCCACGACGCCCATCACCGCTTCGTCGACATCGGCATCGTCGTCGACAATGATCGCGTTCTTGCCACCCATCTCGGCGATGACGCGTTTGACGTAGGGCAGACCTTGGGCTGACACTTCCGCCGCGCGGCGATGGATCGAAAGCCCGACTTCGCGAGACCCTGTGAACGCGATGAGTGCTACCTGCGGATGTTCGACCAATATGGGTCCAACCACTTCCCCCACCCCGGGCAGATAGTTCACCACGCCTGGTGGCAGACCGGCCTCGACGAAGACTTCCATCAGCTTGGCCCCCACGACTGACGACTGCTCGGCCGGCTTCATCACTACCGTGTTGCCCGTGGCAAGGGCCGCCGTGGTCATGCCGGTGAGGATGGCCAGGGGGAAGTTCCAGGGAGCGATCACGGAGGCCACCCCGCGGGGTGCGTAGCTGAAACGGTTCTCTTCACCGGGCACATCGACCCCGTGTGGTGAGTCCATTTGCATGGCGGCCGCCGTGTAGAACTCGATGAAGTCGATGGCTTCGGTCACATCGCCATCGGCCGAGGGCCATGACTTGCCGCACTCGTGCACAATCCAGGCGGCCAGTTCGAAGCGCCGCCGCCGCATGATTTCGGCCGCTTTCCGCAGGTATTTCGCCCGACCTTCGGCCCCCAGAGCAAACCACTTCGGCAGCGCCTTGGCGGCCGCGGCGACCGCATCGTTGGCCTGCTGCTGGCCGGCGGCGGATAC